TTCACCACCTCTCTTTTGTTGTCTTCTTTACTACAGGCAATCCATTAAAGAGGAAAATCAGGAACAGCTGCACAAATGTGTTTTGATTAGTAGTTCTAGGAGTCATCCGTCTGGAAGCACCTTAAAACATGTCATAATACTTTTTCATTTTATGAGTCCTTTTCAAGTGTCTTTCATAAACAGAAAAATGTTTCTTGAATGGAGATGGGACCTATCTTCAGAGAGAGGTCTGTGTCAAATTAATCCAATAGAATTCAGGTTCATTAGCTTTTTATCTCTTCCAAATTCAAGTTCAGTATTTTTTTCTACCTGAGTACACTATTAAACTGACCATAACTTGTGCCAGTTGAAGATCTGGGCCAAAATCACAGACTATCCATTTTTCTACTTCTGCAGTTACTGTGTACTTTATATTATGAGCTTTCTCTTCCATCATGGAAATTGGCAGGTGTACTTTTCCAATTCAATATCCTTTTAGACATAAGAAACTTTGAAATAAATGCTTTATTTGTTTCCATACCCTGTAAATGATCATGCAATGTGATCCATTGCTGAGAAGTTAAATAAGGTATAAAAGGTTTCACAGTGCTGATTATTTATCATCCTTTGTACTATCCATTATTGTCTTAATCTTTAATGAAAAATAAAAATAAAAATGCAACCTACTGAGACAACTCCTTGCATGCTGTTGTATCTAAATAACTGTGAAATAGAAGTAGCAACATAAATAATAATGGTAGGTGGAAAAAGAAAAGAATAATTGCTTCTTGATTTATTCTAATTGTGTAACAAAATAGTTTTAAGAGCCAAATGAGATGCCATGTCATTTACATGGAAACAATGTCCATGTCTGTGTGAATGGAATGAACTTTTCATAATTCCTGCCACTGCACACACACAAAAATCCAATCCCATCCATGAGAGGATGATAGAACAGAAATGTTTCTTCATTTCTGTCCAATTTCTTTTGTTTGAATGTAATCATTAATTTCCAGGGAGCTCTGGGAAGATGAATTCTCACTGTTTTTTAAGTTTGCCAAAGCACCCTTGTTACAAGGTTCCCTGTAGTTTTAAATCTCCAATCAATTTAAAAAGCAGATTGATGCTGTTCTGCAAAGTGAAACAAAAGCCATGCACCCTTCATATGCCCACACAAGCAGGTTCATTGGATTAGGGCCAGGGCAACCAAAAGATGATGTTAAGGGGGAAAATTCTCCTTTGGAATTCTGCCTCTCACTCCCTCAATTCTTTGCTGAGTTCTCTCCTTCAATCTCTCTGTTCTAACTTCATAGAAGATGGAACTTAAAGACCTGCCATTCACTCCTTGTTAACATCTGAGCTGTTGCCCTCTGTGGGGGAGTGGAATAAAGAGCAAAGGCATCAAAACAAATGTTTCCAGGCCAACTTAGCAAAGTACATTTACATTTTCTGAACTTTGTTCTCTAAGTGTGAGGACATTTCCCTGTAAGGAAGTCCACATTTGCAAGTGATTCCCAGGCCTCAAAAGCCAAGCCATGACTGATGTGCTTCAACTCAGTTTTGGGAACACACTATGGAAAAATGTGTGTCACATGCCTGGAGTTGGCGTGAAGGGCAGCTGTGTACATTCCAATTGGATGCGAGCATTCTACACGCAACACAGAATGAGACGCAGGAATTTTGGGTTGCATCAGTGTGCTATGAAGAATCACTTCTAGAGCTATGTAACTCATAAGTGTTCTCACTCTCTGGTGATGCTTCAGTGGGTTCTGAAGTAGTACTGCTTTTCTGCAGATTTGGTGATTTCCCCCGTCCCTCAAGGATTCATATTTGCTCTGTGTTCCTACCTGGATTGGGTTCTCATAACACATTAAACATGGTGGCTCTTAGGTACAGTGCTTTAGTCTGTTGTTGGAACCCAGCACTATTTCAATTAGCCATGGTTGTTGATCAGATTTAATAAACCACTGTGACCTATTGTGTGATCCAAATCCAGACAAAAGAAACCATGGCCAAGTAAAAAAACAAAAACAAACTACCCCCTTGGCAAAAGTAGCCACTCTAGGGAAGGGGTTAGTGAGTGGACTTTCCCGGGCAACCCAAACTGCCAAATCAGCACATGCGACAGCTGGAAATGACTTTCCTCCCTGAGAGCAAAGTGGAGCACTTCAACATGTGTGGAAGCCTCCCTGTGGAGAAGAAAACTTGTCCCTTTTGATCATGAGCTGTGGTCCCACCTCTTAACTGGAGCTTCCCCAGGCCTTGCCACTTTCCAAGGTGCTATCCATCCAGGGTACATTGCAAAACTAAGGGGCCATTGCAGGTTCTCAGCACCCCTCAGCCCTGAGGAGCCTGCTTGGAAGGTGGGCAAATTGAAGGGCTGTTCCCTAGGTATTTTTACAGGTACTTTTCTTTTTTAGGAGGACCCTTGTGCCTCTGTGTTATCCACACTTGGGAAGGTGTGGACAACCCAGGGTTCCATGAACACCCCCCCCATCCCACCAAACTCCTGAAATTTCTGTTGCAAAGGGTGCTTTCTATCTTGCCACTTTAAAAAAGTTAGCTGTGGGCTTTGAAGCAGTGTAGCACATACACTACGTCCATGCAGAGAAATCTTCCCGCCAAATGGCAAAAAACAAACCCACCCCCAAAACTTATTTGTGTCAGTTTTTTTTACAGCGGGGTGTATGGAAAGCACTCTTTGCTACAGAAACTTCAGGGGTTTTGGCGCATGCTGATGTGACCCTGGGTTGTCCTCACCTCCCCAAGTGTAGTTGACTGAGAGGCACTTAAAAAAGAAAGTCAAGCCATGGCCAGCACTGAATGGCTTGCTGTTTCTCAGGAAACATCTTAATGATCCTTCACTGTTCACTGGGACACTGCAGAAAGGCTGGAGGAAGTGGGGAAGGAGGTAGGTGGAAGAGGCATGCAACTTCTGTTGTGCCTGATTGTTTGTCCAAAACAGATTTTAACTTCAGTGTATGCTTGTAATTCCAAAGGGAATTAATATGTTGTGTGAATTCAGTCAGTCTAAAAAAAAATGGGAGGGCATTCAAAATATAGCCTCGCCAACAAATTGAAGTTGTTCAGAATTCTACCATCTAGCTCTACCGCTGTATAAGAGACAAAGCAGAGTCTCGTACGATTGCACTGGGTCTTGGTTTTTTCTGTTCAAGGCAAGACAAATCTGGATCCAATTCATCTGTTTTTACTGCCAGAGGGGAAATAAGACATTTCTGGATTTTTCTGCTCCAGGTACTCACATAATTTGATTGGTCTTGACTTGTGGAGTGTGCAAATTGTTGCCTACTGTATGCAGCAAAATACCTTGGGCGAACCCTGCAAATAAGCTACACATTTCTAGTGCATGACTGTTGCCTATATTGTTTCTTCCACAAGAAATCTAATTTCTTTCACAAAGCTTCCGCTGTACATATGTATTCCATGAATATCCTCTTTTCACTTTGACACTTTTCTATCATTTTCAATACTTTGACTTTTGGGATAAGCCACCTCATCTTTCCCAGTTTTCATCAGTTCGCTTCATAAAGTTTCTATAGAGTTATTTATCTTTGGGTTTATAACAGAATTTGATTTTTTTCTGTTATGTTTCTCTCTCCACCCCCTCCAATTTTGTGTTGAGCTATTAAGGCCTTCTGTATTAATTTGAAATAAAATTAGCATATTTTCCTTATTACTGCTTTTGTTTAAATTGGCCACTTTCTTGTTGTAAGAATGACTTTCCATATGCTTCCTTAAGACAATTTACAATTTTTAAAACAGCATATTTTTACAATGCTTCCTTCTACGTCCATGATAATGTAGAATTCATCTATATTTTTTATAATTTTCCCTGTTGGACAATATAATTTAAAATATCCATTCAGTCTCAACAAGAAACTCCCACAAAGTTTCCCTGCCATATACTTTTTTCTTTATTCACACACTTTAATTCTGACTGTTTGACTATTATGAGAGTCTAGTTACAAAACTGAAACTGAGTGCTGTTCCCCACTTCCAGCAACTGAGTGTTTAAGTTGTCCTTGCGGCTCTTTCTCTGTCTCTCACTCTGTGTGTGCATGTATGCATAAAGCATTAACATGCTTTCTCAAAAAATATTTTTTCTTTCACCATTTATCCTGCACAACTTAATATAATTGCTATCTCTTCTATTTCTTCAGTGTAGGTCCTGCTGTGAACACTTATTCCCACTAAAGGGTTTTTTGGACTTGTATTCTTATCTGTCATTTCTCCTTACTTACAGGGCAATCTGGTGGAAGTAGGAGAGGAAGAAGTGAGGGCAAAGGAAGTTGGAGAGGGAAGGGCATGGAGAGGGAGAGGAGGAGAAAATGGAGAATGGAGGGGGCAAGAGAGCATGAGGGAGGGACATAGAGAAGGAAGAGGGAGAGAAGCAGACAGATTTGTTACATTTTTAGAAAATGGAAGCTTGGCCATGACACAATTTGGCATCTCCCCCTGCCCACCCGCCAGGTTATGCAAAAATACATGCAGCCCTTGGACAGAAAAAGGTTTCATGCATTGCTTGCTCTTTACCCTGAATAACAGAGGTAACTATTAACAACTGAGCCATAACTTGTCTCCACCTGTCCCATACCATTTCTGTTGCTACTGTCACAACTACACTTCTGGAATGTGTCTTTTCTATTTAGTCAGTGGCACATATGCCTCATGCAGATCTGCAACATGTGGTAAAATACACTTCCTGAATGGAGTTATAATTCCTTCATGTAATGAAATGTATGATATCCATCCACACTGGCAGCCTCCGCCTTATTTGGCCCCAGTCCCTGTCACGCTTGCTATGGCCATGGTTCTCATTCTGACAGCATTAACCCCACTGGATATTCCATAATTCATGCAGCTTGGAAGGAGTCAAAGCCAGGCAGCCAGCTTGAAAGGCTTTCAGCTTCTTTTGTAATACACTTGAGACAAAGAGGTTGAAAGGATACACCAAAGAGTCTAATGAGAGACAGAGTCCAGGTGGCATTTCTGGATGTGGTTTAACAGTTAGGGTTTCCCATGCGGCAGTAGCAGACTGTTTGAAATAGTCGGCAGTAACAAAAGGCACAGAAATCACAACAGGGATGAGATGATGGTTTGCAACTTGCCCAGGTAGCCACGCAATTAGGAGGGGGCGATGGTTTCGGTCGCGGAAGCTTTTTCTGTTGGGCCTTTTTCTGAGGAGAAAAAACACACATTGAGAGGATGAAAAGCTCAACACATTTTGGAAAAGGAAAAGCATGTGTGGCTACTTCCGCATCCCCAAAGACAGGGAAATGCCTTACAAAAAGTATGTATAGGCGTACACCTTTAGAAAGAGTCAATAGAATTTGAATAGAAGTGTCATGACATAGAGGAGAAACTGTGGCCTGGTGACCAGATCGCCTGCCCATCAGGGACCAGCTGTTCCTTTCGATGGTTCCTTATTGTTTTAACAGGCTTGGACTGGATTGCCCATCAAATAAGACTTTCCTCTGGCAGCTCTTCAAACAGAGGACTGTCTTCTGTGAAAGATGGCAGGTGGTCTCCAGAGCTGCAATAGTTTGGTAAGCATGTGTTCTACTTTAAAGAGGCAGTCCTCTGGGTGAAGAGATTGCGGTTTTGAAGTGCTATCTAGTCCAATTTGGTTTCAGGATAAAGAACAGAAAGTGGAGCAAGAACTTTGAGCTTGCTCATCCCTTCACATTTTTATTTAAGTTATAGTAAAACATAATTTATTAAATGCTAAACTAACAAATTAAATTACAATACTTATTCCTAAAAGTGCATCTATAGATGCATATTCCTTACCTTATAATATATATAAGGTTTTCTGGGGTGTTGAATGTTTTGGTGTTTTTAACCTTCTACTGCACCTGCAAACTTAAAATGTACTTCAACATTCTTGAAAGGTAGGAAGTTCTTAATCCATTCATATTGTACATAAAATATCCCTGAAGAAAGGATTTTTTTTTCTTCAAACAAAATTAATTTACATTCTAGTTGTTTTGTTGGAAACAGCTTGATAACTCTGTTGAAACTGTTTGGGTCCAAACAGCATTCATGAGTCAAGTTTTTAAACTAATATACCTACCCTGATATGGATTTCCACCAGTGAATTCTAAAATAGCAGCTGTAATTAATTTTTTAAAGATGACTTTCCATAGGGAGCTCATATATGCACCAAACCCTTCTGGGAGGTAAAAACTAACATTTCTCAGTGCCTTCATTTCCCCTCTTAAAATCTAAATTATGCAAAGGAAATCTATGCTATCAAACTGTCATGTCATAAATTTCAAAAAATCATAGGTAGTTTTTTACATCCAGCAAAAAATATGGCCAGATAATTTGAATGTGTTTGCATGTTGCATTGCAGGCAGAGCAATCTCACTGAGGCAGGGGTGGGGAGAAACGGTGGGACTGCTGGCAGGAGATTGTGGTGCTAGAGATGGGCAAGAAAGTGATGTTGAAGAATGTAGGTTATCATTCCACCACTTGTCTCAGGCCCAAGTCCTATTTGTAATTGCAAATTATGAAAAGTTAAGGAATATGTACAGTCCCTGAGTTACAAACGTCTGACTTTCAAACAACCCATACTTATGAATCAACTGCCATACAGTCTATTAATTTTTTAAAATCACTGTGGAAAATCATCATTACTGCAGAGAGAGAGAGAGAGAGGATGCAAAAGGAGGAGAGGGCAGCCTCCAAAGCATGCCTTCTGTCAGAGAGGCTGACTGACCAACATGGGCAAGTAGGTTAAAGTGGATACACCAGGCCTAACCAAATCCCAATTGACAGTCCCAAGTCAGTGCCAGGAGAAGATAGAAGAGCAAGGCAAGTCCAGTTCAATGGGAAAAAGCATGGTCTAACAGGCCAGGGGTCAGAAACTGGGGAGGCGACACAAGCAGGAGCAGGTACCTTAAGGCTGGAACTGGGAGAGGAGCAGGGTCCAGGAGTTGCAGCAAGTTAGAAGACCATCATTGCTGAGGCCGCCTGTGGTGGCAAGAGCCAGTTCTTACACAGCTCTTTCCCCAGCGTGCCCAGGTGGTTCTCATGAGGGCCCTGGCCACTGCAGCAGATTTAGGGGGTTATCCTGCAACAACCAGGGCTGCTATTGCTTTATTTTCTCTTATTGTAAGACTGTTCTGGGACTCTTGCTAAGAGGATGGTATAGAAAAGCTATAATAAATAAATGAATAAATATTCTGGTGCTCAACCAGCAGATGGAACACTGAAGCTTCTTCAGATCCTGATCTCTTCCTGCCCTGCCCATCTGGAGAGGGAAATCTTTCCCACATTTCCTTGCTGCAAAGAGGCAGCACTGGTGAGTTTGGGTGGAGTGGGGGAGATAGAGATATCTGCAGTTTTTCCACTTTCATAGGGATCCTGCACCCCTAACCCACGTGAATGTGGAGGACAGATTATACTTAACGCACAAATTTGACTTAAAGACAAATTTGTTTTCTCAGGAACAAAACTTGTTCATAATCTGAGGACTCCCTGTATTGCAAAAATGCAGCAATGAAATTTGTGAAAATTGAATGTGAGATTTGTACAAACTTGAACTGAAAATTTACATTGATCTCATAAGCATGCATTCAGCAATTTCTGAGCATATTTGGTGGACTTTGGCTTGTCTTTGGGGCTTGAACAAGTCATGCTTGCATATGACATTGTCATATATCCCTAGGTGCTGTGTTAGTATTTCTTTATCTGACTTCAGTGTGCTAAAAATAAACATCAAATTCAGGGCAGAGGTAGGCAACTTCTGGCCCTCCCAAGCTGGGTTTTGGCTTACCCAACTTGCCCACCCCACTGGGCTTAAGGTAATGGAATATTACCTATCTGTGAGCCTAGAGAATTTCACTGGGCTTCATGTGGCCATAACAGAGCACCAAGTGTTCACCTGTGATCATATATCAGATATGATCCAGCTAGCGTGCTAAAGCTCCATTGAAATCAATAGAATAAATGAGTGAGCCTTAGCTTAAATAATTTCATTTAAATAATTTCATGACTACTGACCTACTTCTCATTTGATGGACTAATAGGGAGATGGGATCACAATTATGCTTCAGCCTGCTTTGCCTCCTAATTTTGTGATGCAGTTGTTAGCTCAAAAATTGGGTACAAAAATAAACATGTTAAGGAAATTTGCATGTAAACATGTGTACATTAGTAAAGTTGTATATAAATATGTTTATATTAAGGAAAGTTGTATACAAGAACATTCATGACTGGTTGTTCATAATTGCAGACTAATCATAATAAGGAAACTGGACTTGTATGAAAATGATGCAGACATTTCCTGTGCTCAGGTACACATCAAATAGCTGCCTCCTTGCTGTTTATACCTTATATTCAACTGCAGCATTTGTAGGTGTCTCATGACCGACATATGGGTCATGTGACCTAAGGTGGTTGCACCACTTCCATTTTGTTCTTGGAGAGACTATAAGAGAGGGTGAAAGATGGACATTTTAATTAAATGTGATGTCTATGCTTGGGCTCTATGTCAGGGGAAAAGAAATGAAAACTGATGACAACCATCTCAGAGTAGGTTACATTTGAACATCTGACCTTACTACCGAGATGTTGCAGCCTGAGGGCAGAACTATACATTGTGTTGGTTCCAGATTTAGTTTTACTTAGAGTGGACCGACAGCAATCACTTGAACTTAATCATGCCTAGCAAAAATCCCATTAGAAAAAATCTAATCTACATCCCACTTAGAGTAGCCATTGAAATGAATCTGACTTAGTCTAAATTAAGTAATATCCCTTTCAATGGGTCTACTGCAAATAGGATCTGCATTGAATTTTACCCATTGATTTTAAAAGGTCTACTCTCTGCATGACTAAATCTGGATCCCACTTATTACATGCAGTTCTGTGAATCTTTCTGGGACTTTAAAAAAACCACAGTATAGTCCCTGAAGCTGCAGTTTGAAGAGGAATGGGTGTCCTTGCACCCTTTTTCTGATAGAAAGTGCTACCCTCAAGCTCTTTTACCTGAATGGGGAAAGATACCAGTACCATAACTTTTTCCTGGGGGATGGAAAAAGAGATGGAGGTGAGGTGGATCTTCAGCTGAAAAACGGAGTGAAGGAAACATGTTGACAGTCTCCTCTACATTTCAGCCACCCTTCAATTCATTTGTTCATTTAAAAGATTCATATCCTACCTTTCAAAAATTTTCCCATGGTCAGTTACACGATGCAGAAGAAAAGGGAAAAGAAAAGAAACACTAAAATAGACATAAAATCAACTTACAAAAAACTTAAACCACCCAGTACAAAACAGCCGTAGAAAGAACATCAGAAATGTAAAACACACTTGAAATACCTGGGCAGATAAACAGCTGTCAACATCTAGTGTAGGTGTTATGTTAGCTTCTCAGGGGAAAGCACTTCAAACTGTAGCCCCGATGGCTAGTTGTTGTTTTTAAAGTCCACCCCAGAGATACACAGAACTATACCTCACGGACAGCTCTACCCTGCCTCCACTTTGAACCTGAGATGGCTGCTGCAACATTACAGGCGTATCTAACAATGCAGCTACGACCTAAATCAGAAGTAACAGACTTCAAGTGCAATCATATATATGTTTTGATGGAAAGAAAAGTCCTGCAATTCCCCACACTCCTGAGGCAGCCCCTTTCAAGTAGCCGTTTCCCTGTGAATGATAGATCCCAATGAAAAATTCCCAGCACCCTCACCAAACTACAGGGTGCTTTGGCAAACCCACAACCATTAAACTCATCTAAAGCAAATATAAGCCAGTGCTGTGGATATGCCCTGCACACAAGAGAAGTGTAAATATTAATGGTCCCACAAATAGTTGTTGCTGAGGTCTTGAAATACTTCAATCACACTGGCAGTTTGAGAACAGCTACTTACCTTCATAGATTTCTTTATTTCAGCTTCTTTTCTGCTGAGCTTCAGGGAACTTTTGGTTAAATCTTCTCAGAATGAAAGCAAAAAAGGAAAGTTAGAAATAGAAATGTTTTAATAATAATAATAATAATAATAATAATAATAATAATAATAATAATAATACAGGCTGCAGACCAAAATGGGAGGCTGGCAACTAGGGGGAGGGCCTTTTCTGTGGTGGCCCTACATGTTTGGAACAACCTTCCTGCCATGGCCCTCCTGGTGCCAAATCTGCCATCTTATCAGCACCGAGTTCTTTGTGGAAGCCTTTAAAGATCTCCTTGGATATCTAGGGGTCTGATGGGTTTATCCAGGTGCCTTTTTATTTCCTTGTCTGGGTCTTTTCCATTGTAATTAATGTATTTTAATGCTATTTTAATGAATGTTTAAATGTTTTAAATGCTGTTGTGTTGTATTTTGTTGTCATTATCTCATGTTGTGAACTGCCCAGAGAGCTTTGCTGATGGGTGGTATAGAAATTAATAAAAATAATAGTAATAATAATAATAATAATAATAATAATATACTTTCATTTTTTTAAAAAGCATCAGGCTTGTATCACATGTATCTGTATATAAAAGTATCTCCTGTATTTGGACTTTGCTGGAGCTATCAGCCTCTTTTACCCTCACCCTTGTAACTTCTGTCTCAGACTTCTCTTAATGCAGTGCCTTCCAGATGGTTTTGACTACAACTCTCATCAGCTGCAATTGCTGTTACTATGAATCAATTCTCACATTACACTCCACCTGTGGATTCTTCCAAATTTCAACCATTCTGAGCAGTTATCATTCAGGACCAAATTGTTATGACAGAGAGGGGAATTTCCAAATCTAGCCTTCCAGAGTTCTCCCTCTTTCTCTAGCCTCTCCCCTTTCTTCCATGCTGCTGATAGTCACTGGTTGCTCCGAGGTTTTCCAGTTTTTGCAGTTCTCCCTCTACTGTAAAATATTAAATTCCCCAACTAAAGCTTAGTTGCTAGAAGCTTTAAGTGAAAATATGCTGGCCTTTTGGTTGGGATATGTAGCTCAGAGATTTTCTCTGAAAGTCACTTTGGCCTTAGAGTGAAAGAGGTTCAAGAGCCTGCCAGGCATCTGTCAACCAGAACAAAAACCTGGATCTGTTGTTGTAGCCTATAAAATAGGCTGCAGGCTCTAAGTGCATGCAGGGCAGATGGGCGGGGATGTTGAACCTTCCCCACCTGTATCCTCCCCAACTGCTTTCCAGACCAAAAATAAATCCAGCTGCACCAGGAGAAAAATGGCTGGAAAGAAGTGGTTTTCCTCAGATAGGGGAGAAATTACCAGTTTGCCATTTTAAAATGGTACTCATTTAAAAAAAAAAAAAAGGTACTGGAGACAACTTACAGCAGCTCCTACTACTGTCCCATCTAACTGGTTCCTCAAACGTCTCTTGAAATGTGACCTCATGCAACATAAAAGATAATATTCCATGTGTTTTAACACAGTCATTGCAGATCCTTGGACTGCTTGTTCCTTTTTCTCAATAAAGGATACAATTGGAAAGATCTGTCAAAAGATACTTCATACTTTCTTATCAGCATTGATTTCAGCACTTCTGCAAACATTTTTTCTCACTTTGTGCCTTCTCATCTTCCCAAAGGTTGCATCTACAATTTTTAGTCCTTGAACAGCTTATTGATTGGCTTCACATGCTCTTCATAAATGCTGATCACCCGAGAGAGAATAATTCTTTCTATGGGTGTTAATGCTGATTGAAATTGTGAAGTATCTTTTCATGGGCCTTTACAATATCATCCTTTAGTCATCTCCCATCCATCTTATGCATACTGTTGTTTTTAATATAGGTACATTCCATGGCCTATTGAATGATGATGTTATTTACATTGTGTTACTATCACACACTTTTTCCTCTTGAGAGGAACCCAAAGCAACTTACACTGTCCTCTGCTTCATTTTACCTTCACAACAACAATCTTGCAACAAGAGTCAGGTGAAAAGTGAGTGACTGATCCAAAGTCACCCAGCTAAGCGGGTTGGCAAACTGGTCTTACGCTCACATGCAGTCTTAAACCCAATTTCATGGGGACTTCAGCTCATTTGAAAACTCTTTGCACATGGGGACTTTCGGTTGACATCATGGCGAGACGGCTATGGAGAATGGGATCCTGTACGTCATGTGGCAATCCATTCTACAGAGGGCCCTGGGAGGCCCATCCAAGCCCTGTTGGGGAAGGGATTAGAAGCCCAAGCATACTTCTGCCTGTTGGGGGGGTGGCGGTCCCCCACCCACCAGGAGAAATTCAGGGAAATTCTCAGTGAATGGAGAGAGAGGGGTGCACCCCCCCACACACATATGCTGCTGGCACCAGATTAGTAGCAAAAAAAAAAAAAGAAGAAGAAGAAGCTTAAAAGTGGACATTGGACCTGCTGGGTGAGCATTCAAATCTTTCAAAATACTGCAAGAACCTGTGAAATAACTATCAATCTGAATAACAAAAGAAAGGCCCTCTTGACAGAGGGAGGAAACTGCTTCCTGTGGAGTTCAAGTGGTGACAAATCTAGGGGATATTAAGTGAAACTGGGGAAATTTGAGACTTGAATAAGAAGAGTTTTTTTTAATGTTTAATCTCCCCAAGGGTGAAGAATCAAATTTGAACTTATTGTATATTAATTGGTAGAAAAAGTTCTTTTTCTGTTTTGTTTCTGTATCTCTTTCGGAGACAATATGGCGATCTGATCATTCCAGTTTCTGCAACAAATAACCTTTTGCTGCCACCCTGCGGTCATCTCATCCTTTAACAGATACATTGTTTGCCAATTTTTTTTTCTTTTTTCCCTCTTTTTGTGATTTTTTTGCTGCTATTTAGTTGCCATTTAGTACCACAACAGGTTATTTAAAAATTGCTTCAATTAGACTTTTCACTTTCATCATGGAAAAAAATTCACCCATCATTTTTGGCACCTACGTCTGCTTCCCAAAGCCTAACACATCAGTTAAAAACTGTGGATTTGGGAGAATCTCAAAGACATACAAACAACACTTTTGGCAATACAAGCATCTCTAACATCTCATAATTCTAAGGGAATTTTATATCTTGAAGGGCATGATTTATAAACGGGATGACATGCTTATAAGTGGTAAGGGTATTGACATTTCTTGGTGGCACAAAGTTCAAATATGATTGAGATATGTGAAGACTATAGAATATATGATTTTATAAAGGAGTTGATTAAATGATTTTAAAATCGGATGAAAGAATGATTAAAGGATTGTATAATTTTTTTTGGGCATAAAAATGAAAGATGAATGAGTTAAGGAAACTATGATAATATGGGCATAAAATGTTGGATATAACATTGAGTTACAGAAACGGCAAAAGCTGTGGGAAAGAAATAGTAAGGTAATCTTAGCAACTTCATATAAAGAAAACCTATATAAATGTTTTATAGTTAGATAGATAGACATAAATGTTTTATAGATAGTTTTTATCACTAAATAGATTAGCAAAAATGTTCTCAAATATGTCAAATAGATGTTGGAAATGTAAACACAAATTTAAACCTGAACTTTTCTCTTTTTTGTTATTAGATATTATTCTTAATGATTTTGATAAATAGGCTATGTATAGGATCTTACATGGAATTACTGTGGTGAGGATTCTATTTGCTCATTACTGGAGGAGTGAAGAGCCATGCACTGAAGAGTTGATCTTAAAAAGGATTTTGGATTGCACGGAAAGGGACAGATTGACCTTGTCTCTGAAGGAGAAGGAGGACGCATATATCTACCAAACTTGGAACTCTTTTTATTATCAGTTAGAGAAATGGGACTATGAGTAGATCTGAATATGGCTACTGACTGTTAAAATGAGAAAGATGTCAAACCAGTATATCCAGTATCTTAAATAACTGTTGTTTTTAATATTAGATTGTAGAAAAAAATAATAAAATTTATTTTTAAGAAAAAGAAAACCCTATGTACATGATCAGTTCAGACCTCTGGCAAAAGTAATCTGTTCTTCTTCCTCTCCTTGCAGACTAAAGGAAGCCAGCGTAGGGGGAAGAGAAGTGTCCGAAAGGGAGCGAAACAAAGGATGGCCATGTCTGTTTTCACTGTGGTGCTGCCCATCACTGTCATGAAGTCTCCAACAGATTGCCCCTTGCCACATGTCCCAGTCTAAACACACCCATTTCCTAGTCACACAAACTTCACGGAAACAGAAAAAAAGAACATTGAAAAAAAAAATTCAAATCCTAAGAACTTTATTGTGAAAAAAATCTGCTGTGATTGGAAGCCTATGTTGAAGGGAGAAATGAAATTGTTTAACAGTTCGATTTACTGAAAACGTCTTCACTTTTTGCCACGTACAAAAACCTTTTGCCACTAGGTTGGAAGTAGTTGAGGCAGCTGACAAAACCCTTTAAATAGTCCTCTCTTCTTCCTCTTCATCCATTAATGTATAGCAAAATAAAATCTGATTGCAATCATTCATGTAATTGGATGCCACTTCTGATAGAAGGGAAACCAAGAAATATGACAATGTTCTATCGCTCTACACGGTACCAGAACAGAGGGACAGGAGGAGCAGTATGTGGTTCCCAGTTTCCCTTAAGATTCCAAACAGTTGATTTTTACTGACCTACTATAGAAATGGGCTGGAGATCCGGGAACTTGATTTTGTTATTGTTCTCCATACTGTTGTCCACATCTTGCTTTTCCTCTAATATCATGTAAGAATCGCTGACCATAAGCAAAACACAGCATAGAAGCAAACCAAGAAGAAGATTCCTAGATTTCATTCTGGTGGGAGAAAAAGAAAATACATCTTAATAACTACTGACTACAGATACCTGAAGAAAAAGATGGTAGTGCATATAAAGGTGGAGTTATGCAAATATTTTTCAATAAGGCTTTCTGGCCTCCCTTCCAACTTGTTGTCCCTTAATGAGGATGGAGAAATGCAGAGAAGATGGAAGGTCCTAAGTTTGCAAGACCCCCAGAAGCTTTTGCATTCCCTTCCAGATGAGTCTGTTAGGCCAAAAGAAAAAACTTTAAATGTGGCTTCTCTTTTTTTGTTCTGTGTAATAAACCAGCCATTCCCCTAAATATGAGGTCAAAGAAAGCAAAGACTGTTGGTGAAAGTAGGAAATTATTACCTTGTCCAATCTACTACTTCCACTCTAGAAGCCAAAATTAATGCCTTGCACTCATATTGCTTTCTTTTATCACTAAGTACAACAATGCGATATTTTTTTTGCTTTGAATTGTTGAGTCTCTTCCACACGCCAATTGTTATTAAGTCCAGTCTTAATTCCAGCACAACAAAATGTAGAAAGTCAAAGTGGGAGCACTGCTTCAGCAAGGCACCATGCATTCTAAAATGAAACGCAGGTGAATCCACAGCAGGAAAGGAGAAAAATAGAGGCAAACTGGCAAAGACTACGTGGTTGCTTCAGTACACATATTTAGATTTCACTTATGAGGACAGTTTTCTCCAACCTAGTACGCTTCTGATCTGTTTGACTCCCAAAATAGGAGTTGCAGTCCATCAGATCTTGGTAATGGAATTACATTTTATGGGTATTCCCTGTATCACTTAGTAACAATATTCTGGCTACCTTTCCAGGGATATTATACCAGCTCAGCCAATAAATGAAAGAAACTGTGTGCCATTTTCATATTGTCATAACATTTCCCCCTTTTTACCAACACCCTCTGCTTCCTTGGAACATAATGAAATCGAAGTGCAACAGATCTGGAGGGCAAAAGACGGAGGAAAGCTGTAGGGGGGCATGGGAAGCGGGACGTTGTGCCAAATGTTTCAAGGAAAAGCTGGATTCTGAGGAGAGATTTGGAGGAATAGAGGGGAGACATTATACAGGTAATTTGGGAGCATGAGGTTAGATGTAAGGCTGTTAAAACTTTCAGCTCTACTCACAAGGATTATAGCAGTGTTATTTCAACACAAAACAAGTAAGGAGATCTTTGACACTGGGCCTTTGGCATGCTAACCTACCACACAAATTCATATCTAACCTAGCATCCCCACAATGTCCAACCAGGTGCCTGAAAGAAGCCCACCAGCAGGGCATGAAGGCAACAGCTCTTTCCCACTAATTTCTCAACAACTGGCATTCAGAGACATGCTTCTCCAGGTGTACTTTTCTTCAGGGTCTTTTCTGTGGTGGTACCTTTATGGAATCCTCTCCTTTGTTATATTAACCTGCAGCCATCAGTATTAGTTTTTAGACCTCAGGCTAAGCCTCTCTTCTTTTACCCTCATCTTTAGCAATACTGGTCTGCTTTTAAATGATGTTTCCTATGTTGTAGGCATTATTATTTTGGACTGTTTTATTGTTAGTCTTTCACATTTTTACATTATATTTGTAAGACTTTTAAAAGGCCAATGTTATGGATAGGTGAGACAGAATGTTCAGAAATAAACTAAGGAACTCTAAAGGTGAACTAAAGCTTGTTACTCTGTCAAGTATCTCTGTATCCTCTGAAGCAAAACATGTTAGCTACAGTCCTAACAGAGTCAGTTATGCTTAACCTTCTTCAAATCAGTTTCAGTCATCCCAGAATATAACAGCAGCAATGGTCACACTATAAAAGTGTGAAAATGTTCTCATTAGTTAGGAATCAATCCAGTGGTGATGCTCGTATGTGTCTGAGCTTGGAGGATTACAGGCATCCTATGGGTAAAAAAACATGGAGGCAGTCTTCACCTCTGCACTCTTTCCACTCTGCAAAACAGCTAGACAGCCAATTTAAGATGAAAGTGCTGAGAAGACCCAGTTTCTTCCCCTCCCTGCCTCCTGGAATGCTGCCATTACGCTTTCTCAGAGATCACTGTTATGAGCTTGGAGAAGCTGCTGGCTTGATTCTTTCCATGCTGGCTGCAAAGGAAGGCAGGGTGATCCAAGTGGTATGAAGTTGAGGCTGGGGGTCTCTCCTTATCTAGGATCAGGAGAGCTTCCTAGGTGCCATAGGATTGCATTGTTAATCGATCAGGATAAAATGGGATAAGTAGTTGAGCAAATTTTTACAGCTATGTTGAAATGATAGTACAGGTACAATATCCTTTTTCACCCTTCCTTGAATGCTTCTCTCTGTTGAAAGGGCTTGGGGAAGCTATGGCTGGTTACATCTTCTGAACATACTCAAGCTAACTTTCTCAGTATACAACCCCTGTGAAGACCAGGTGTTTACTTAATGGGCTGTATCTGTACATGCAAATGCATACATGTACACACACACACTCACACAGTAGAAACAGCATTTTTCATACATTCCCTATGTGATTTTTATCATGCTTCAGGTCAAACAAACAAGCAAACAAACAGAAATAACTCTTCAACCAGCATAAGCCCTTTGTGTTGAAATTAAGTTGCAACCTTATGTACTGTTGTATTTCAATGTATTTTATCATGTTGTAAGCCACCCCGAGGTTTCGGCAAGGGGCGGCATAGAAATGTTATAATAATAATAATAATAATAATAATAATAATAATAATAATAACCTCAATGATATGGAATGTTTGGTGATGTTGCATTATAGCTACAGAATGACCTGTGGCAACTTCTGCCATCAAATAACTCTGTAGGACACTGGCATGCGTCAGAAGAAATAAAGTTGAGATCTCTTACTTCTGCTTTATGGGAAATTTCATGGTGAAAAAAAGGACATTTCTTTCCCCAAGAAAAGGAAGCAGATTTGGAGGAAGGTTCCCAGAATAAGTATATTCTCTTAAGAACAACTTTGCTAAGAAAATAATATGAGAGCCATGTGTTTGACTAAATGTATAAGTTACTCCAGAAACCAACCTTAAAATAATGGAGCTCAAAATGATAAACAGACATATAATTGTTCCATTCTTTCTCCATCTATTGTATTTTATGCAATACACAAAAAGATAATTTCTCGCATAGTGTAATCTATATGCATTCATTGGTAACAAACTGTCATAGTTAAGTGTACTGAAGCCCACCGAATTTTGCGCTGCACTACAGACATTAATTTGTCATAGAAACACTGTGACAAAACAAGTTAACAGAACAAATCCTAATATCAGCCAACTCTTTAGGTTTTGCAGACATGTAATGCACTATATATTTTAGCAAGATTAGCGTACTATTCATTATTTATATCATTCTTTGCCTCTAGATGATGGCGTTCCCTAAATACAAAATCGTTAATACCTACCTTCTCTGCAGCTGCTGCTTCATTCTAGTATATTTGAAAAAGCAATCACTCTGTTCATGGTATTCAGCATTATTCTTAAAACTTGTTGATTCAACAAAATAAAAAATACCACAGAGCAGAACTAATCCATTAGGCTTCCTTCCAGAAAGAGTGCAGTGGACATCTGTATGTCAGTCCCTTTTCTAGCATATAACTCTTTTGGATCTGTTTTTATGCATTTTGGAAAATTCTCTGGCAAAATGCCATATATTAATAGAGAGCACAGCCTCAACCACCTGATTGCTGTAGTTGAGGCCTTGTCCTTAAAAAAAGAAAAAAAGAACTGCAATAATTATCAAACAAAGTGTCAAAGAATTAAATTTATTATGTACACATTTATGTCAGGCTTCCCTGAATAAGTTGCTGAAACCAATTTGGTTATACACCGCATCTAAGCCACCTCTGGGAATTCACTGGCATGTTGGCATTTTAAAAAACCTTTTGATACAATGGGTTTATTTTGGGGGTAATAATAAACAGCTGCTCCAGGTAGAAATAAAATTAATTTTGCACTGTAGGTAGCAATGTTTTCCCTGCACTTTTTTCTTGTATGGGGATACCAGTCTCCATACAAGAAAAAAATTGGAACTCAATTTTTGTATATAAAACAATTACTGGTTCTATGTAGGGATTCAAATGTCCTGCTAATTTGGTTTTAGTAAGAACCATGATTGTAGCTAATAAGTCCAAAGAAAGAGGATTTGAAGCAGACAAGACAAGAATGTTGTCCAGGGTGACTTATTTTATAATGTTAATGTGTTTTATATTTTTAGTGTTTTATATTTTAACTGTTGTTTTGTAAGCCGCCCCAAGGCTTCAGCGAATGGGGCGGCACAGAAATTTTTAAATAAATAAATAAATGTTCATAACTACAGCTGCCCAGTGCACATCATCTAAAAAGTGAATGTGTGGCTGGGATAATTCTCCCTCCAAGCAAATAAGTGGGATGTGGCTTAGCCCGTCAATGAAGTCCCTTGCCCACACAGGGCATCTACCTTCTGCCTTTCAAGAGAGATGCTTAAAACTCTGGACACCTCCAGAAGTCATTAGGTTCTCGCTGTTTTCCACTTGGAATGCTGACATTCTACATGCTGAATAGGCCCAATCCCTTCCAGATTGCTTCTGGCCATAGAATATAAGGTCTACTGCAGTGCTGGGGTTGGCTAAGTTCAAGTCTTTGCTCAACCAGAATGTAGTTTGGTTGGTCTGCCACTTGGTGGTCTCCATCTCAACTTTCCTAGGGGAACTGAAAGGTTTCCAAATTATTTGTCCATTAAAAGAGGCTATAAAAGGGGCCAATAAGTGCAGGTGGTATTGTGGGATGTTACTGTGTTGCATCATGTAAAAAGACGGCTTGCTAGCAAATACCTTTCTTTTTTAAACATTGAAGTCCAGTACACAAGCTATTGGGCATACCTGCAAACTGCATTTAGAAGGAATGCTTGAAATTAGAATGCAGTTGGTTAAGGAAACCATAGCTTAAGTTTCCAGAGCTAGTATTCCAAGCTCATGCCATTTGTTTTGGGGTGAAGGAGGCTAATTTGTTGTGAGCTGCTCAGACTTTTGGCTATTGGGAAGTATAGAAATGTGATAAAGAAAGTAAAGAGAGTCCTTTACAGAATAGCACTTCCTGTCTGCATGTTTACTTGGTAGCCCAAACTCATCTTGTATGTCTGCAACAAGATCCAGAGATTAAAAAAGCATCAAGTTTCTAGAGTCTGTCCTCATAAAGGCCCAATAATTAGCTGCCACCCTGAAACTTTGTTCTAAGCAAGGAACTGGCTTGAAAGTTCCTGCAACAGCGTGGATTTATCAGGTTAGGAAACTGAGGACAATAGGTTATTCTACAGCAAACTCCAGTACCTGGGTTCACAACTTATAAAATCTTTGAGCTATAATAGTCCTCTGTTCAATATTTGTGCAAATTAAAATGATGACATTAAGGTGCATTTTCTTTGGAAAAAGAGCATACAATAATATTTCCAATTTTTTCTGTTTATTTTTATTTATAGCCATTAGGGCCTTTTAAAAGGAATACTTGAGGAATTTGATATTATGACTTCTAATTTGAACTGAGCTTATCCCAATAACAAGGACAAATTTTCCTGCTTTCACACTTCCCAAATGTTCTGACATTGTTCTTGGCTCAAATAAATATCAAAATGTGTTTTGAAATTGTATTTTGAAAGAAAATAGGTTTAGAAATATGCATTTACAAAGGAAAATATTTTCAGAAATGTCCCTTTAAATTTGTAATTGAATGAGAATTTTCATGGAACTCATTGCTGATTTCATTTGTAGAGTGTTTTTCTTTTGTTCCAAAAGGAAAAGTGCACATTTGAAATGGGAGAAGTGCACTTTTTTCAAAAGTATGTATTATTTGAATGAATTACATGTTCTGGAATGTGCAAATTTCTTCTTTTAAAATGTGTTCTGTTTTTGGTTGAGGACAGCGCAAGTTCAGATTATTCACAAGCTGAACCAAAGCGCTGTATATCCCTATCTACAAATACAAGATAATTTACAGGCGCTAAGGGCTGCCATCTAGTGTTAAAAAATGGCAATACCTGCAAAATGCGGGTGTTCGTGTGTGTGTGATTTACAAGGGATTCGAAAATTCAAGCCTATGTCATTTCAAGATCAAACAGAATGTAGCTGTCTAAAGATTCACCTAGCTTTGTATGTAGGTATAGATAAATCCATTATGTAGTAGATATATCAAACTAGCTAGTAGGATCGTAAGAGTTATAATAAACAGTGTTGAAGGGAAATTGATGAAGGGCAGTACTTGTTTACAATTTCTTAGACAAATTATCCAGCGTCCTGCAAAGGTACTGAAAGCAGAGACTAGGGTTAAATGGATGTTTTATACAGAGAAATGTGAATGCTTTATATATATATAAGCTTGAATTGTTTTTGCTGAAGAGCTGCAGTTCTTACCTTGGACTGGGTACGGAAAGCAAGACATTTGGCATTTGATTCTCACAATCATGTGGTGGGTGGGGACATCCCTGCTGGTCCTACCCCCTTTAACCTGTTGGGGGCAACACCTGCAGGAGGAAGTATAATGTACATGAGTAGACTCCCCCCATGATGTGGAATCCTAAATAAATCAGGGTTCCACATCATGCAGAGAGATGATATCTATACAGGACTCTCTCTTTTACCAACATGTCCTCTCAACACATGATAGGTCAACAGGAACCTAATGGTGGGGGGCACACGTGGGACCAGAGGGCACAGACTGGCTCCCCATTTCATGCAGTTGCTAATTGTGTGATTATACCTGCTATAGCACTCAAAACAATCAGTCAAATAAATTCATTGATTTTTTTTTAAAGTAGCTGCAGTGGCTTTTCCTACCTAATGTTATATAAGAAATCCTCTGTCCAACTACACTTTCTCTGAAGCAGCTAGGACTTGTGCACATCAGACAGAGGGGGATGCAATCAACTGTTTATGGAGATAACAGTGGTGGAGACCGAATCCAGTTCTCACTCTTCCTCCTAACAGTCGTTTCTGATGATCTGACCAGGCCAACCAGATCAGCTGAGCTGGTGAAGGAATAATGTGCAAGGCACCTGTCTGCATGCTGAGCTCCACATCTAGCCAAAAGGTTTGCTTAGAAATTTGCTTCCGTGGACATATGCTTTGTAGCAAGATTGGGACGCGAACCAAGTTCCTTTTTGAAGCTGACTGAAAACTCACAAAATCAGCAAATGCAAAAGGAACGTGTGTTCCTTTATATAGATTTATGTGTACAGGTCTGTGTAGATGTAGCACTGAGGCCCTCTCATCTGTAAATTATGATAGCTGGGATTTGGTTGCTCTAAGGAGAATAACACATGCCAGATAAGTATCAAGTCTCTTCCTTTAATCTTTTGATATAGTAAAAAAAAGCCTGCTATATATTATGTCAAACCATATTATGGACTTAGCTGTAATCACCATGCTATTTACTTTCACTTCCAAATACCATCATCAAAATTTGTTGCATATATCCAATTCAAACTTAAATTGTACCTGGAAGAAAAATGGATGTCAACCAGGTATACAGAGATAATCGAGTTAGTTTGCATGTGTACATGATAGGCATGAAATCCATGGAGAAGAGGGTCATGGATAGATACAGGACACTCTCCAAAATACCTAGCATATGGATGTTCGGGTTAGTGGGTTATATGAGTTTATCAATTAATGTCCCTGCCGCATGTCCCCCCTCTGCTTCCCACACTGGTTTGCTCTTTGGAGGAGACCTGATCCTGTGGCGCAGATTGGGGCTCATGCCAAGGGTTTATTTATTATTTATTTATTACATACATTTATACCCCATCCTATCACTTCAACTCCTCAGGATGGCTTACAAGAGATATAAAAATACAATAAATATAAAACTACTATAACAACTTTAATTATTAAAACAATATAAAACATAACAATATAAAATGTGACTGTGAAAAGGGGGGGAAAATAAAATAAAATCCTAAAACATCTAAAACCATTAATTGTTAAAATAATCAAATAAAAAGGTCTTAACCTGGCGCCAGAAAGAATATAACGTCGGTGCCAGGAGGACCTCTCTGGGGAGAAGATTCCATAGTGTGGGTGCCACTGCGGAGAAGGCCCTCCTCCAGGTAGTCACCCTCCGTATTTCCTTCAAAGAGGGTTCCCAGAGCAAGGACTCCCCCGCCAATCTTAAGGGCGTGAGGGTTGCAGGGAAGAGGGCAAATTCTATCCATTGAATTCTATCCAAACAAGGACAGTTTGTGACACGGTACTACAGCATCATTGGTCATGGGAAACATTAGTTAAACAAAACATTTAGCAGAAGGGGCGACACATGGAGTATTTGTTACCAGTACTGCAATACTAAAAGAAAAGCCTGTGGAGAATCTTTCAGTTTGTCTGTAAAGCTAGAAATGTTCTGCAATTGTGGCAAAAGTACAACGAATTACGAGCCTATGAATCAAATCCTCGTAGGTCATAAAGTAGGTGATACA